CCAGGCTGGTCTCGAACTCGCTGACCTCAACGTGATTCACCTGCCTTGGCCCTCCCAAGTGCGGTCTTGGATTCAGCAGTGTGAGCCCACCACTCGCCCAGCCCATCCTTTACTTCTTTTTTTTTTTTTTTTTTGACACACGAAGGTTCTCACCCCGCCTTGGTTGCCCAGGCTTGAGTCGGCCAATGGTGTCGAGTCCTCGGCTCCACTTTAACTCTTGCCTTTCACAGTTTCAAGGTGATTTTACGCCTGCCTCAAGCCTCCCAAGGTGCTTTGGGGATTGAAACAGGCCGGCATGCCCCACCACACCCTGCCTCATCTTTGGTAATTTTTTTTTGAGTAGAAGACGCCGGGTTTTTTCACCATGGCTGTTTTTTTTGGCCCAGGCCTGGTCTTGACAACTGACTTCAGTGGATCCCACCTCAAGCGCTCAAGTGCCGCTGGAATTAGCACGCATGAAGCCCCACCAGCACTTGGCCCCCTTTAAACATGCTTGTGGCCCCTCAAGCTGGGACTCTTTCAACTGCAGCTTCCTTGGCCAATTTCTTTCTCGGTTTTTTGATGGATACCACAGGGACATTTTGCCCTCTCCGTTTGAAGCCCATGTTTCTTGCCTTTTTTCTGGAAATGTCAGATAACTTTTGATTTTTCAATTTTCGACATCGGCCCAATCATCAGCAGAACACTGATGCTGGAAACAAAACTGGGAGATGACATTCTGGCAGCACATGTGACACCCACAGCAGGTGTTTTGCAGTTACAAATAGAACCCTTTCCCTAAGCCTGCCATCCTCTTTCGAAGACTTTCCCCCATCAAAATCTTTCAAAATGCCATGGTAACATCAGGGAAGTCCGGCGCACATTGATGTCTGTTTACTGTGAAATAACGAAGCCAGACAGCAGCGACACTGAGGCCACAGAGTATGGACCCAAAGACTGGGCTTCACAAGCTGGCCACTCAGTGACCCTGCATAACGCAAGGGTGCCCGATTTGTAAACAGTTACAAGGCGGCTTTCCACCGAGTGGCGGGCACGATGGCCTTATACCAGGGGCCTACAATGCCTGCTACCCTGCCCAGGATGTGGCAGACAGGATGGCAGTGAACTGCTTTCCTTAAAGTTCTAAACAAATGGGCTTGTTTGAGCAAATGTTTCGCAAGGGCAGAAGCTTTCCTCTGCCCCTTGCCTAGGTGGGTTCTTCTTTCAGTAAATTCCTCCCCAAGCTGTCCTGAGAACAACAGTCACATTTCCCTCGCAAAGTTTTCGGCAGCCTCAATTTTCTGTCTTTTAACAAGAAATGTAATCTCCCCTTTTAAAAGGGGGAATCAGCGTGCAAGGCCCTGCTAGAAGACGGGTGTTGCTCTAGGTGTCATTCATTGCCCAGAATGCAAGTTTGGCGGGCTTAAATTTTCTGATCTGACACACCCGACCTGAAACAAGAGAGGGTTAAGATCAGGGAGCCAGGCGTCTTGGAACAACCAGTCTTGGACCACCCCTGAGAAGCCATCCAGTGCTGGCAACTTCCGTCTAAGACATACTCTGGCACGTGAGGGAGCAAAAGACCTGAAATTGGAAGGCGTCCAAGGAATACTAGCACGGAGGTGAGAAAACCCCTTATGGGGCCATCATTGATTCCTGGAAAACTTATTTTTTCCTGCGCTTGTAGAGGGTGGGGGTGGGGCATTGACTGTTTACAGTTGTGGCTGAAGGCAAATGGGCAGCATGAAATTTCAATCTGATATTGCAAAACAAATGACATCCACACCACACACAAAACTCAGTTTAAAAAAGATCTACTGTGGCCAATTATTTTCTGATTAAAAAAATCAAGTATAACAACAAAAAAACAGTAGACATAAAAATGTCCACACCAGTCTTTAGAGATTAGTTTGTTAATGGCCAGGCGCCCGTGGGCCTCACGGCTGTAATCCCGCAGCACTTTGGGAAGGCGAGGCGGGCAATCAAGGTCAGGAGATCGAGACCATCCTGGCTAACACAGTGAAACCCCGTCTCTACTAAAAATACAAAAAAATTAGCCGGGTGTGGTGGCGGATGCCTGTAGTCCCAGCTACTCGGGAGGCTGAGGCAGGAGAATGTCATGAACCCGTGAGGCAGAGCTTGCAGTGAGCCGAGATCGCGCCACTGCACTCCAGCCTGGGCAACAGAGCCAGACTCCCTCCAAAAAATAAATAAATAAATAAATAGAATTAGTTTTAATGAAGCTCGAACTCCATCTGAGCCTTGGGTTTCAGGGTAAATCCCCAATCTATCAGTTTCTTGCCAGGTTTTGTGAAGGTAGGTCATGGATTACTTTCCCATTATAGCTTTTTAGGAACTGATGGTGAGGGATGCAAAGCATTCTTTTCCATGTTATTCCCTATTTTCCTGAGTTGGTCTAACTGATCATCCATCTGCCATTCATCCATCCATCCATTCATCCATCCAGCCATCCTCTTACTGGGTTAGAAAGGATTTAGAATGGCATAGGAAACCAGCTGGGTGCGGTGGCTCACGCCTGTAATCCCAGCACTTTGGGAGGCCGAGGCGGGTGGATCACAAGGTCGGGAGTTCAAGACCAGCCTGACCAAGATGGTGAAACCCCATCTCTACTAAAAATACAAAAAGATTAGCCAGGCATGGTGGTGGGTGCCTGTAATCCCAGCTATTCAGGAGGCTGAGGCAGGAGAATCGCTTGAACCCAGGAGGTGGAGGTTGCAGTGAGCCGAGATCATGCAATGACACTCCAGCCTAGGCAACAGTGAGACTCTGTCTCAGAAAAAAAAAAAAAAAAAAAAAAAGACATAGGGGACCAAAGAACAGAGGATGTCAACTCAGCCTTTCCAGCATTCCATTTCTGAGTTAAGATTGCAATCTCTATCCCTGAATAATGTTCCTCATCTCCATCTCTCAAACACTTTGTTCTCTTCTTTCTTTATGTAGCTTTTGGCTGAAACTCTAGACACTACTAAGAAAATACATTTCATATATATGCTAACTAACTTTGAGTTTGTGTTTGAGTGTCCTTTTAATGACTGGGAGAGTAAGCCCCTTTACAACGTACAGATGTGAACGCTGCGATCCTGATAATCTCCTGCCAACAACCCTGTGCCCCACAACTTGCTCCACCAGAGGAATCCTGTTGTTGAAAACTCTATATCCTAATAGGGTGGGAATGAGGACTTTCTCTGTTGCGGGTAAACCTGTACGTTTGTTTCTTCCCCTTCTTGGCAAATTCCCCTGACACTGGGGACCCACCTCGCCCTGATCATCTTTAAGGGCCGTGCATTGGGAAGACTGGTGTTACAATTGACAGGCACCGAACACTGTTCTGGTGGCAGGGCAAGGGCTGGCTTGCTCCTCTGAGCCACACCTCACCGCCAGCCCTTTTTTTCACCCTCACTCCACCTCCTGCACCAACTATGCCTTTGGAAGAACTGAAGTTTGAAAGCTTCTTCTTTCTCTAAAATATATTGATTTTGCAATGTGGAAAACAGGAGAATTTTGGGTGAAAAGTATCCATTTTGTTGAGCCTCTCATAAGTAAGATGAAGTGACTAGTTTGGAGAGGTTTTGAGGTCTTATTTTCCAGTAGGAAAGTAGCACACTGAGAACACAATTTCCCAACACCACTCAAGTTTACCTGTAAAATAAAATCAACCTGTTTTAGAAAACAAGTGACTTTTTCTCCCCCTTTTGGGAAATTTTTTATTTGATCCCAGTGTGTTCTAATATTAGCAGAACATTAGCAATAAATGCCTTTTGGATACATATATATTTGGTAACTCTGTAGATACTTTATTTTTATTTTTATTTTTATTTTCTGACGTGGAGTTTTGTTCTTGTTGCCCAGGCTGGAGTGCAACGGCACAATCTCAGCTCACTGCAACCTCTGCCTCCCAGGTTCAAGCGATTCTCCTGCCTCAGCCTCCCAAGTAGCTGGGACTACAGGCACCCACCACCATGCCCAGCTCACCTGGCTAATTTTGTATTTTTAGTAGAGACGGGGTTTCACCATGTTGGCCAGGCTGGTCTTGAACTCCTGACCTCAAGTGATCCGCCCACCTCAGCCTCCCCAAGTGCTGGGATTACAGGCATGAGCCACCGCACCTGGCCCTTAAATCATGCTGTGGGCCCTCAGCTGGGACTCTTCAACTGCAGCTTCTTGGTCAATTTCCTTCTCGGTTTGATGGCATACACACAGGGATTTGCCTCTCCGTTTGAAAGCCATGTTCTTGCTTTCTGGAATGTCAGATAACTTGATTTCAATTTTCGACATGGCCAACTCATCAGCAGAAGCACTGATGCTGGAAACAAACTGGGAGATGACATTCTTGGCAGCACATGTGACACCCACAGCAGGTGTTGCAGTTACCAAATAGAACCCTTTCCTAGCCTTGCCATCCTCTTTCGAAGACTTTGCCCCATCAAAAATCTCAATGCAATGGTAATCAGGGAAGTCGGGCACATTGATGTCTGTATGGAAATAACGAACAGAAGCAGGGACACTGAGGCCCACAGAGTTGACCCAAGACTGGCTCACAGCCTGGCCACTCAGTGACTCCTGGCATAGCAAAGGGTGCTCCATGTACAGTACAGGCGGCTCCACAGTGGCGGGCACCATGGCCTATACCAGGGGCTACAATGCCTGCTACCCTGCAGGATGTGGCCGACAGGATGGGCATGAACCTGCTCCTTAAGTCTAAACAATGGCTGTGAGCAAATGTTTGCAAGGGCAAAGCTTCCCTCTGCCCCTTGCCTAGGTGTTCTCTTTCAGAAATTCCTCCAGCTGTCCTGAGAACAACAGTAATTTCCTCCAAAGTTCGGCAGCCTCTTTCTGTCTTAACAAGAAATGTAATTTCCCCTTTAAAAGGGGATCAGGTGCAGGCTGCTGAGAAGAGGGTGTGCTCTAGGTGTCATTCACTTGCCCAGAATGCAAAGTTGGCGCTTAAAGATTTCTGATCTGAGACCCGACCTGAAAAGAGAGGATAAGATCAGGGAGCCAGGCGTCTTGGGAACACAAGTCTGGACACCCCTGAGAAGCCATCAGTGCTGCAACTTCCGTCTAAGACTTGGCCACGGTGAGGGGAGCAAAAGAGCCTGAAATTGGAAGGCTGTCCAAGGAATATACAGAGGTGAGAAACTTATGGGCAACATTGATCTGGACTTATTTTTTCCTGCTGCTGTAGAGGGTGGGGGTGGGGCATTGACTGTTAGTTTGTGGCTGAAGGCAAATGGAGCATGAAAATTTCATCTGATATTGCAAAACAAATTACATCACACACCACACACAAAACTCAGTTTAAAAAAGATCTACTGTGGCCCAATTATTTCTGATTAAAAAAAAATCAGTATAACAAAAAACAGTAGAATAAAATGTCAACCAGTCCTTTAGAATTAGTTTTAATGGCCAGGCGCGGTGGCTCACGGCTGTAATCCCAGCACTTTGGGAGGCCGAGGCGGGCAGATCACGAGGTCAGGAGATCGAGACCATCCTGGCTAACACAGTGAAACCCCGTCTCTACTAAAAATACAAAAAAATTAGCCGGGTGTGGTGGCGGATGCCTGTAGTCCCAGCTACTCGGGAGGCTGAGGCAGGAGAATGTCATGAACCCGTGAGGCAGAGCTTGCAGTGAGCCGAGATCGCGCCACTGCACTCCAGCCTGGGCAACAGAGCCAGACTCCCTCCAAAAAATAAATAAATAAATAAATAGAATTAGTTTTAATGAAGCTCGAACTCCATCTGAGCCTTGGGTTTCAGGGTAAATCCCCAATCTATCAGTTTCTTGCCAGGTTTTGTGAAGGTAGGTCATGGATTACTTTCCCATTATAGCTTTTTAGGAACTGATGGTGAGGGATGCAAAGCATTCTTTTCCATGTTATTCCCTATTTTCCTGAGTTGGTCTAACTGATCATCCATCTGCCATTCATCCATCCATCCATTCATCCATCCAGCCATCCTCTTACTGGGTTAGAAAGGATTTAGAATGGCATAGGAAACCAGCTGGGTGCGGTGGCTCACGCCTGTAATCCCAGCACTTTGGGAGGCCGAGGCGGGTGGATCACAAGGTCGGGAGTTCAAGACCAGCCTGACCAAGATGGTGAAACCCCATCTCTACTAAAAATACAAAAAGATTAGCCAGGCATGGTGGTGGGTGCCTGTAATCCCAGCTATTCAGGAGGCTGAGGCAGGAGAATCGCTTGAACCCAGGAGGTGGAGGTTGCAGTGAGCCGAGATCATGCAATGACACTCCAGCCTAGGCAACAGTGAGACTCTGTCTCAGAAAAAAAAAAAAAAAAAAAAAAAGACATAGGGGACCAAAGAACAGAGGATGTCAACTCAGCCTTTCCAGCATTCCATTTCTGAGTTAAGATTGCAATCTCTATCCCTGAATAATGTTCCTCATCTCCATCTCTCAAACACTTTGTTCTCTTCTTTCTTTATGTAGCTTTTGGCTGAAACTCTAGACACTACTAAGAAAATACATTTCATATATATGCTAACTAACTTTGAGTTTGTGTTTGAGTGTCCTTTTAATGACTGGGAGAGTAAGCCCCTTTACAACGTACAGATGTGAACGCTGCGATCCTGATAATCTCCTGCCAACAACCCTGTGCCCCACAACTTGCTCCACCAGAGGAATCCTGTTGTTGAAAACTCTATATCCTAATAGGGTGGGAATGAGGACTTTCTCTGTTGCGGGTAAACCTGTACGTTTGTTTCTTCCCCTTCTTGGCAAATTCCCCTGACACTGGGGACCCACCTCGCCCTGATCATCTTTAAGGGCCGTGCATTGGGAAGACTGGTGTTACAATTGACAGGCACCGAACACTGTTCTGGTGGCAGGGCAAGGGCTGGCTTGCTCCTCTGAGCCACACCTCACCGCCAGCCCTTTTTTTCACCCTCACTCCACCTCCTGCACCAACTATGCCTTTGGAAGAACTGAAGTTTGAAAGCTTCTTCTTTCTCTAAAATATATTGATTTTGCAATGTGGAAAACAGGAGAATTTTGGGTGAAAAGTATCCATTTTGTTGAGCCTCTCATAAGTAAGATGAAGTGACTAGTTTGGAGAGGTTTTGAGGTCTTATTTTCCAGTAGGAAAGTAGCACACTGAGAACACAATTTCCCAACACCACTCAAGTTTACCTGTAAAATAAAATCAACCTGTTTTAGAAAACAAGTGACTTTTTCTCCCCCTTTTGGGAAATTTTTTATTTGATCCCAGTGTGTTCTAATATTAGCAGAACATTAGCAATAAATGCCTTTTGGATACATATATATTTGGTAACTCTGTAGATACTTTATTTTTATTTTTATTTTTATTTTCTGACGTGGAGTTTTGTTCTTGTTGCCCAGGCTGGAGTGCAACGGCACAATCTCAGCTCACTGCAACCTCTGCCTCCCAGGTTCAAGCGATTCTCCTGCCTCAGCCTCCCAAGTAGCTGGGACTACAGGCACCCACCACCATGCCCAGCTGATTTTTTGGAGATGGAGTTTCACTCTGTCACCCAGGCTGGAATGCAGTGGCTTGATCTCAGCTCACTGCAACTTCTGCCTCCTAGGTTCAAGCAATTCTCCTGCCTCAGCCTCCCGAGTAGCTGGGACTACAGGCGTGTGCTACCACGCCCAGCTAATTTTTGTATTTTTAGTAGAAACGGGGTTTCACCATATTCCCCAGACTGGTCTCAAACTCCTGACCTCAGGTGATCCACCCTCCTGGGCCTCCCAAAGTGCTGGGATTACAGGCGTGAGCCACCGCCCCCAGCCTGTAGATACTTCAAAACATTTCTGAGTAAATGCTTTGTGATTGTGGTGAAATTGTAAAAATTTGTTTGATGGCTTTGCTCAGAGATGAGAGACAGTACTACCAAGAGGACTTTTGATGCAATGGCACATTGACGTATTTTATAAACATCATCTCATTTCATTGTCATCATACACTTAAGAGAAAGTTTATCAGTTGAGAATTGAACAAAACCGCAAGTAACAGAGACCAGAAATCACAGTGGCTTGGACCTAAGAGGTATATTTCTTTCCTTCGTACGTGCTGTCCGGAGATGAGCAGTTCAAGGCTGCAGGAGATCTCCTGGTCCTCGGTTTCCAGGCTGTTGCTCTCATGCTGGCCAGATTTGGTCAAAAGTTTCCATCTTTCCATTTGCATCATGACCTGAGATGCCAGCCGGAGGGCCAGCCACCCTGCCTGTAGTCTAGCGAGGGGGTGTGAGGAAGAGGCAAGGGGCAGGAGAAGGTTTTCCCTGAAGCCCCAACAACCTTCACCTGCATCTCAGTCGCCACTGCCACCAGCAAGGTACAAAGGAAGCCCTGATGTTGGGTAGGCAATAGCAATTTCTCCCACCGGCACGTAGAATTATTTTTATTCCCAGATGAGGAAATGCAGGCAGAAGAAATGGAGTAAGTTTAATCTCGAGCTCACCATGACTACTGGCTTTCTTCCTTCTCCCCCTCCCTTCTTTTCCCCTCCTTCTTTCCCTCCATTCTTTCCTTCCTCCTCTTGCTTCATTCCCACCTCTACTCTTCCCTCATCCCTTCCTTTCTTCCCTTCCCTCCTTCCTTTCTTTTTTCCCTCTCTCCATTCCTGTCATCTTCTCCTCCTTTTCACTACTTCTTCCTTCCCTCTTTTCCTCTTTCCTCCCTTCCTCTGTCCTTTCTTCCTTCTTTCCTTTCCATGTCTGTTAATTTAGTTGGCATAAAATGATACCTAAAGATTTTTAACTTATAATTTACATTCATCTTGTGAATTGTTTGTTCATACAATTTGCCTGTGAATCTACTGGGATGATCTTCTTTCTTCTTCTTTCTCTTCTGTCTCTTCTCTCTTCTTCTTCCTCTCCTCCTCCCCCTTCTCCTTCTTTTCCTTCTTCTCTTTCTTCTCCTTCTTCTTTTCTTCCTTATCCTCCTCTTGTTCTTCCTTTTCCTCTTCTTCTTCTTCTTTTTTTTTTTTTTGAGACAGAGTCCACCTCTGTGGCTGGAGTGCAGCGGGTGGCATGATCGCAGTTCGCTGGAGCCCCCACCTTTCAGGCTCAAGCGATTCTCCCACCTCAGCCTCCCAAGTAGCTGGAACCACAGGCATGTGCCACCACACAGGGCTAATTTTTTAAAGAACTTTTGTGTAGAGACCAGGTCTCACTATATTGCCCAGACTGGCCATTAGAATCTTAATATTTTTGTCTTGTAATTTGTGGTTTATATCTGCTACAAACATTTACTGGGTACCTGTATTTTTTTGGCAATTTTTTTCTTGTACTTTTAATTTTAAAAAACTATGGTAAAATACACATAACTTCAAATTTGCCATTGTAACATTTTTATTTTTTAATTTATTAGTATTATTATTATTTTTGTAGAGATGGGGGTCTCACTCTGTTGCCCAGGCTGGTCTCAAATTCCTGACCTCAAGCAATCCTTCCACCTTTGCATCCCAAAGTGCTGGGATTACAGGTATGTACCACCATACCCAGCCTGTAACAGTTTCAAAGTGAACAATTCAGTGGCATGTGGTACATTCACAGTATTGTGTACCCATCACCACTATCAAACAGGGCCTTTTATGCCAGGCTACCCTGTGGACTTCTGACCAATCATTTGATCGTCTCCAGGTCAAGTGCCTATCCCTGGCCCAATAGGTCATGGCTAGTATGGAGAGCGGGTGGGGGCATGTGGCACAAAAACACAGGCCTTGGCTGGGCATGGTGGCTCACATCTGTAAGTCCCAGCACTTTGGGAGACTGAGGGAGGAAGATTGCCTGAGCCCAGGAGTTTAAGACCAGTCTGGTCAACATGGTAAGACCCCGTTTCTACCAAAATTTAAAAAATTAGCCAGACTGGCCAGGGCACGGTGGCTCATGCCTGTAATCCTAGCACTTTGCGAGGCTAAGGCAAGTGGATCACCTGAGGTCAGCAGTTCAACACCAGCCTGACCCCCATCTCTACCAAAAATACAAAAAATTAGCTGGATATGGTAGCAGGTGCCTGTAATCCCAGCTACTTGGGAGGTTGAGACAGGAGAATCGCTTGAACCCAGGAGGCGGAGGTTGCAGTGAGCCGAGATTGTACCATTGCACTCCAACCTGGGGACAAGAGAAAACTCTGTCTCAAAAAAAAAAAAAAAATAG